CACTTCAGTCTGTGTTAGTTTAGGTAAGTGGTGTTTTTCTAGAAAACTGTCCATTTCCTCCAGATTTTCAAATTTGTTGGAATACAGTTCTTCATAGTATCCTGATATTATCCATATACATTTTTAAAGGCTGCTTATTTTGCTTCCTGGTCTGTATCTTATCAAACCAAGCCTTGCTGAATCTTCATTTCTTTAATTCTTGACCTGTATCTGAGCATTGTGTCATTGCCTCCCATTGTAATGGCACATAAGTTTGTTTTCCCAGTTTTGTCTTCTGTGTTTAGAAGCTTTATCAGTATAAAATTTCTCCCTTTGTCCCTTTTAGTGTTGGTCATCTGTAGTTCCATTTGTCTCAGGTTATTATTTCTTACCTGCTTGCTGTCTGTTAGCATTTCCTGGTATACATTTTTTTAAAAGCAGTATTCTTGAATTAATCTGTCATTCAGTTTGGGGTCTATTTCTTTAAAACAACTTTCAGTAAATTACTAACCCAAATCTTGAGGCCATTGAGTTAATAGGAGAATTTGATCCTTTCACAAGCGTTATAATTACTGAGTTATCCTGCTATCACTATCTTCTTCCCCTCTATTTTCTAATTATGCTTTGATGTTGCGAACAATACAGAAGTCTTGGCCCTTGATGGTTGAGGCTATTCCTGAAATCAGTGTCACCTGGGCCCTTCCCACAGCTCTGACCACTCCAAGCATCTCTACTTTCCGTTGCAGGCCCCCTCTGTCACACCTATGCTGGCAGCTGCAGAAGTGTCTCTAAGGGGCATAGGTTAGATTCTGAAAAAAGAGGAAGAAAAAGTTTGGTCAGACAAGGTTTTATTAGGGAACTTACATACAGAGGACAGCGCCATGATTCTCGTGATTGACAGCAGAGGCAGAAAAAGTGAAATTGATTAGATCTGGCTTTATTAGGGAGCTTATAGTTAAGAGTTTGGCACCAAGATTCTTATGACTGACAGCGAAGCACCTAGAGACATAGAGGTCCAATGGGGTACGACACCTTCCCTCTGCTGAGCAGAGCCCTGACGCACCAAGCTGCGTCTACTCCTTTGGCTTCCCTGCTGGTTGAGAAGGTTAACAGTCCTCTTTTTGTTCTTAGGTGGATGTTTCTGAGTCACTCTTGCATGTGTGGTGCTTTTGTCAGTGTGTCTTACCTCTTGTCCATCTCCTCTCTCTAAAAGAAGGGTGTATGGTTCAGGGAGCCTCTCCTATCCATCACCAACAGAGCAGCATTGCTGAGAGACTCATGGTCCTTGACTAAAACCTGGCAGCATGGCTACTTGTGGTCAAACTGCCATGAGAAACCCTTTGTCCAAAATCAGACTGGGGCAATGTAAGATGGAAATTGGCACATTCCAAGGTTTTTGTTCTTGTTCTTTCTAACTCTGCCGCCTTTATTCTTACCTTATTCTCCTTTTCACTCTAAGTTTTCCCTTTGTCATCATCTTATGTCTATCTCCTGTGTTCTGTGGTTTCCTTGGTTCTCCTCGTACTATTTGCTTTTTGCCCTGGGATTCATGTTCTTTATATTCCTTATCTCCATTGAGATCTACTCAGACCTAGACCTCACTTCATGGGCTGAGGTTGGTCGTAGGCAAATTTTAGAGGTAGTTTCTTAAATCTCTGTTGAGCTTCTCATAAACATACACAGGGGTCTTGATGTTAGATCAAATAAGCAAACACCACCAATGGAGTGATGTAGGTTTTCTCTATGATTATGCATGTCAATAATGACAACCCTGCCTTCTGCCAGGAGCTGTTGTCACAATCACGGCACCTGTGAACATGAACGTGGACAGCCTCCAGTCTTTGACTTCGGACGGGGCCACCCTGGCAGTGCAGCAGGTCATGATGGCAGGCCAGAGTGAGGACGAATCTGTGGACAGCACAGAGGACGACGGGGGCGAGCTCACCACTACCCACATCAGCGGGCTGGTCTTGGAGAACAGTGACTCCCTGCAGTAGGGAGTCACAATGGCCAGGACAAGGGGCAGACTCGCCTGACTTTTTATAGTTTGCACAGCAAACGTTTTACACAAGTTTTATTTCTAATATGTTTTATATGTAGATATAGAAGAGTGCACTTTTGTATTTCATAGTAAGCTTAAAGAGTGTCTTTGCTGGTGCAGCAACTTCTTTCAAATGTGTGTGCATGAGAGTGAATGTGTGTATGTGTGTTTAATTTTAAGAAACTACATTAAAGTTTTAACTCTAGAAACGCAGTGAATGAGACACCCTGGCCTCTGATTAGGTTAAGGTAGAGTGCTGCCATGTCTCCAGTTGTGCAGCCTGGCCTGGACGCTGTGCTGACCACAGGTCCCGTGGGCTGGCTGATCTATGTGCCCACGTGTTTGAAAGAAGCTCTTGCACCTGAACTGCCAGCACAAGGTGGATGACAACCCAGAAACGAACAGCGCATGAGCTCGTGGTGAATGTGTGGCGGTTGGCATAAGTATAATTTCTCTCGCATTCACTGAGCCTGTTTCCTTTGCTATATATGAAAAGAAACGCCTATTTTTACCTTGCTGGAATTATTGGATAAAAAGCTATTTTTATAAATTCGCTATGAATTGGATTATGACTATATTGAGCATAAAATTTCTAGAGAAGAAACAATACATGAGTAGTAGTACTTCAATTTGAAATGTTCTGCATAATACTTCAATTTGGACCAAATTCAGTGGACCTGCCTAAAGTTAGCTAGCATTCCACAGTTCTCTATTGTCCCTGGGCCATAATTCACATTTACTGCCAGAAAAAAAAAAACAACTGTTGGTGCAGTCGTGAACTCTCCCAATTAATTACAGTTGTATGCATTGCTCAGATTGCATCTTTCCTTTGATCTAAACACGTATCTAAAGGTATTTGCTAACAGGACTTCAGGTAAGGTAAGTAAAAATGGTAGCCAGTAATAAGTTAAAAGCTCTTACCATTCTTATTTTTTCAGTCTAATTTAAATCTGACCACAGTTAAATGGTAATCTTTACCACGTTAGCTGTGCATTGTTTTAGAATTTTTTAATCAATCATATGTTATGCAGCGAATGTTTATTATCAACTAATACGAAATGCCCTCTATCACATCGGGTCAGAGCTGGGATAAATAACAAATGTCCAAACTTTATTACACAATCACAGATACCCACGAAGTGACAAGGATGATTGAGGCATGATGATGGGGAGATGAAGACTCTGCTCCCCTGTGGGTTCACACACACTTGCTCTTGGCCTTGGCATCAATATTTTCTTGTACTTTTTGCTTTGGAATTTCCAGAGCCCTCCCCTCTGACTTGACCATTTGGGATTTGGAATAATCTCACAACTTTGCTTTCCTGGTGACAAGACAAACCAAAAGAATATATTGGGTTTTGTTTTCTTTGGTTTTGCTTTGTTTTAGTTTGTTTACTGGTGAGTGGAGTTTTTTTCTGAGAGAAAACAAACAGCCTGCCTTGTTTCATAGAGAATTTCCTTATGTAATATGAAGCCCAAACTTCAGTTTGTTTATAAATGACAATTTTACAGTTGGGAAGGTCATCAGTTCTTGAGATTCAAAATAGTAATTGGTTATTCGACCAAGTTTACATTGAAGGAATATTTTGAGCTAGTGTATTTTTTTTTTTTTTTTTGGAACTGATTTTTTTCTTTTCCCAGAAAATCTTGTTAATTAAAATTAGTCATAGGACATTACTTCAGCGATAACTTAAAATGCAACAGGAAATACATAGAAATTTGTTTTAAAAATTTTGGGAGCTTTAACTAAAAGAAATACTTGGCTGTATGTAATTCTTTGAGAGAAGCATAATATTTTTAAGCAGCCATTGCATTCCTTATTTATATTTTTAATATCTTAAGTTAGATCTATGCAAGACCAGAAGATTATTTTTCATTTTAGCCTTACTTAAATTCCAACTTTGTTAGACTTCTTAAAACCAGAAACTGTGGATGCAAGCCAGCCAGTCTGTTCTCCTCTACTTCCTTGCTCCCTCTGTCCCCTTTTCACCGCCCTGCCCTGCCTTTTAGTGAGAACAAGACCAGAGTAGGCACTCATGTGCAGGCCATTGTTCACGCCAGGGACATTGCTGTTTCCGAGGGCTGCCCTGTGCTGTTAGTGTGGAGGCGTGGGCTGTTTCTTTGCGCTGGCCTAGATCCTAAAGCCTCTTGCTGAGTGACAGGCATGTGCTGGGGACAGCTGACATCAACCTCCTGATGCTGTCAGTTCTTACTTGCTAAATTCAGAGGAGTAGGAAAAAGATCCCTTAGAGAAAGTGCTGTGGACACAGCCTAAGGTTCCTGTAATCTTTCCCAGTGAAGAACTAGGCAAGCCATTTGGATTCATGAAGCCATGCCCAGCATGCTTGGTGTCAGATTTTCGCCTTAAAGACATTATTGATTTTCCAGTCTTCAGACAGTCAGGAGAATCTGTGAAAGTACATTCCCATTGGACATGTATTTTTAAGTCAGCAAATTAAATCCCAGCTTTGTTCCTGTTAAATTCTTTCCTTATGAAGGATCCTGTTGAATGTGTCTTGAGACCCATATGAAGCATGTTGCTATTTTTTCTTCTATTCCACAGTTGAGCAGATAGCTAGACTAGCTAGACAAGCTCCAGCTGATGGACTAACTCAGCTTTCAATTTGTTGACTCCAGAGAGTAAAATCAATTTAAATATTTATTCAGTATGCAAAGTAAAGTGAGAAACCAGTGTGCTCACAGACTGCAAAGCAGTGTTGCTAAAGCATTACACCTAAGGGTTCTGTGAATTTCTGTGTCATCTGTTGGAATGATCTGTTCCTTATGCATTGGAGCACTTTTTCCTTTTAAATGAACTCCAAGGTCCCGGTAAGGTAATCTACTCAAGTTGTGAAAGGCCGTCTCTGGCAGTTAGTGACGGAAATAATTCCCCAATCTTCCTTTGTTTTAGTTATATTTGGTCAATGAAACTGACAATCTTTAAAATGTGAATACTGTAACAATATGTTTTCTTGGATTGTTGTCTTTAAAAGGAATTTTTGTGAAGCAATTGATTTATCAAAGGAAAAAATTAAAAATAGAAACATGCTTTATGGATGTTGTATTTTATGAAACTCATGTCACAGAAAGTGCTTGTTTTCTCTTATGAGTAAAATGTTCACCTTGCTTATGTGTTTTGCTAGTGACACATAGGATTTGTGTGACCCCTGTGTATTTTAGAAGTTAGGATTGCACAGGCATCAGAAGATCCAAGTCCATGGGTCTTTTCAAGAATCTCCTTTTAGTTGAGATTGGTTACTTTAGCATTGGTTTTCAGGAAAAAATTGGAAACTGTTTTTTTTTTTGTTTTTCATTGTAGTTTTCCTTAAGTGGGATTATTTTTGTTAGGAATGAGAAGAAAGTGATTCATCATAAGGGAACATTACTGTCTTTCATAGTTCATACTGTAAGCTTACCTGACAAGGCAGGGCCTGGGCATATTGAAAAGATGCATCAAAACTGTTTCAGCGTGTTTTTAAAATTGTTAATGCTTTGAGGATACAGTAAGTCAGGAGACTTACATATTTTTAAAAAGTGCATCAAAAATAGTGAATCTTGCTGGTGATAGCGTCAGCTGTGATATGTGTCAGAAAATGTCTAGATTAACTTACAGAAAATGGAGCCAGCCATATGTTTCTCCCTCTCCTGTAGGTCAGGGGGTGAGAGGACCATGTGAGAGGTCATTGCCTGATGGGGCCTTGGCCCAGCCCCTCACCTCTCTAGGTATCAAGTGCTTCATTGTGAAAGGGAAGCATTGGTCTATAAAGCCCATTATTAAAAAAAAAAAAAAAAAAAAAAAAACCAGACTCACTGCCGTCTAGTTGATTTTGACTCATAGCGATCCCTCCTTGGGTTTCCAAGGCAGTATCTCTACAGAAGTAAATTGCCAAATCTTCCTTCTGAGGAGTAGCTGGTGGGTTTGAACCTCCATCCTTCTGGTTAGCAGCCAAATGCCTTAGTCACTATGCCACCAGGACTTCTCTACAATAATACCTATGGCTAATAAAATTCTATTGATTTATCTAGAGAGACTAGTAAATGAGTAATGCCGTAGCAAATTCCTGAAAATAAGTAAGAAATTTATTTGGGTTAAGTGTTTGTTTTGCATTTTGTTGTAGTCTGCAAATTTCACCAATGATATATATTAAGTTACAGCCCATATGCTGTGTTACATACTCTTAAGAAGAAAGTTCTAGTACAAATTATTTTTGCCCTTGTAGAGTTAGATCCTCTTACCTTCATTAGGAGTTCCTGGATAGTGCAAACAATTATTTGTGCTCAGCTGCTAACCAAAAGGTTGGAGGTTTGAGTCTACCCAGAGGCACCTTGGAAGAGAAAAATCAGCCATTAAAAACCCTAGGGAGAAAAAAAAACACCTAGTAAGCATAATGCTATTCTGACACACATGGAGGATTGCCTTGAGTTGAAATAGACTCTACAGAAGTGGTTATTGGTACCTTGAGTAATCTGAGATCTCCATACCATTTTTAAACAAAAGTTTGCAAAACTATGGTGCTTCTAAGCCCACATGACTTACTGAAGTAGATGCTGGTCTGGATGTGGGCATCTGGGCCCAGGACTGGTTTCCATGAGCCCCTCATTGGTCCCTTGGCCCAAGTCATACCTCTGCAGAGGAGGAAGATGGTCTGTCTTATTTTGACCCCACTCTTCCAACTCTGACCTATTGGTCAATAAAGGACACGGTGTTGCTGAATTGAATAATTTAGTAAGCATTTCACATGTGAACAGTATTTAGACAGCATTGTTTTGCACAAATGTTTCCACTTTTATACTGTTATTTAAATGAACTCAAGATTTCAGTTTTGTTGTTACTGTTGTGTGCCATGGAGTTGAACTGTCCCATAAGGTTCCCTAGTCTGAAATCTTTAAGCAAACAGATTTCCAGGTCTTTTTTCCTGCAGGGTGGCTGGTGGGTTCAAATGCCAACTTTTTGGTGAGCAGCCAAATAATTAACTATTGCATCACCAAGGCTCTTCTTTAAAAGCCAGCATATCAGGAATTACTCTATCCCAGTGTGTTTGATAAGGAATATTTTAATGGTGTTGATGGCTTTAGTCACTGAGACA